CGCCAATAAAATATTTATTTCTACAATATACGGATAGTATTTTTATTGTATCTATATGTCTAAAGAAACCTTATTTAATACGTATTTATTAAAATTTAGACAATTACTTTAATTTCATAAAAAAAATATTGATGAAATTCGGATCACGATGACCCGGTGTTCGTCGGCGTAACTATTTCACGTCATTGATTATGGTAGAATTAAAGTCGGTACTGAATCAAATAAGATCGAAATTGTAAAATTTTGTGAAATATAAAGGTGGAGAAAGCGGTTTTTCACCTGATCGATAATGTATTATAAATTAGATGTACTTTATATGTCAGCTAACACAGGTATCTAAAGTTCAAAGAACGAAAACGCTAATTGAGCGAAAAAACGTCCACAACGCTTTGTGGTCTCTTTAAAATATTCATAACACGTTATTCGTGTTATGGGCACTTATTAAAATATCAATAGTATACATATAGATATCGTTGGGCTCAAAAAGATCACAATTCAAAATTCGCGTCGTGGCTCTCATGATATTTGATCACTGTGTTCGTGTTCTATATAATCTCAGTACAAAGTACTAGAAAAACCGACCTCAAAAGTACATGGAATTACATCTATTTGCCAACTTTTTTTGAAATTGGTTACCGGAAAGTACGCAACCCCGGATTCATCCCCTAGTTCTCCACTTTACGGAACTTGACACAAGAGATAATAAAAAAAATTGGTTCTCACTACTCAAAGTATATTGAGAGAAAAACGCCTTGAATTAGAGATTAGCAAAATCAACCATTAAAATAATTGCGCCTTATAATAAAATTTAGGCGCTATTTATAAAAATGAATCTTCATGCGTGAACTTTTAGATTTGGATGATTTTCTTCTTAATAATAATAAATTAAATAGGACCACTATGGAGATACCCTCTTTCCAACAAAAAAAGAATCATGAAAATTTGTGCCCAATACCGGAGGTATCGCGTAACATCATACAAAAAAAGCACAGTCGAATTGAGAACCTCCTCCTTTTTTGGAAATCGGTTAAAAATGTTATTCTAAAAAATAAATGGGCTGCGCCTAGAGCTGGCAGCTCCCCTTCTTATCGAATTAGTTGCATGGCTATACAAAAGAACGCTGCCAGAATTTGGGGCACTATGCTATGCCGCGGGGACATAATATGTTATCGCCTAGATTTAAAATTTGCTCAAGCTGGCTAGCTGAACAAAACTCCTCTAAAGAGAAATAGGACAATTTTTAGACTTTTGACATTTTATGAGTAGGTATTTGGGGTTTCATATCAATTTTAAGTTTGGTAATCCAATAATACATTATGTATTAAGGGCGGTAAATAAAGAATTACGACGGAGACTATTAGAAGCCCGAAGTCGACTGAGGGTTTCCGTAATTTCCGCACCGCCCGTGAAACATACAATGTTTTTCATCACATTTGCGATTAAATATAATAAAACACTCGGGCTATTTTTCTTCTCATTACAGCCATGGTCGTGTAAAGAGAAGAAAAAATAACCGAGAGTTTTATTTGGGGCATTATATTCAAGTTAGCCTGCATGCAATCATACTATTTACGTGCACATATGATGAAAAAGTATAAAAATATCCTCTAATAAAATACAGAAATAGCAAGTTTTATCATAGCATTGACTACTATAGTACAAATAAATTCTTTATTTTTGGAAGAAATGATACGTATAACTTAATAAAATATACATTGAGAATACTCAATGCAACGCAACGCAAAAGCGTTGCGCCTTGCTCCCATTGTCCCCATGCCCCTTTCGCGTGGCCTGGGTACATATCCTAAAACGAACATACATATATTCATTATATATTATATTAAGGTGCTTACAGTATTGCTCGATTTTTGACAATTGTTATTGGCACTCGATATGGTGTGGTTTGACGATCAATAGGTGCCTTCAGATTTGCTCGATTTTTGACGATCATTATTGGCGCTCGATCTGTTGTGGTTTGACGATCAATAGGTGCCTACAGATTTGCTCGACTTTTGACCATCGTGACTGTCGCCTGTCAGCGACAAATATCAGTGTTAAAGTCGAACCAATTCGTAGGCGACACAAAATGCGCTGTTAATCGTCTCTTGCGTCGTGCACATTTACTCGATATTGTCCCATCATACGTGTCGACCGATAAAAAATAGGATATGGATCGTCAGTTTTTTACACATTTACTCGATCTTGTCTCCTGTAGGGCTAAGACGGCAGGGCGCGACTTGCGCGAGAGCGACATAAAGCGCAAGATACTGCTATTCTCGCATAGAGATCTCGCGCCTTATGTCGCTCTCGCGCAAGTTGCGCCCTGTCGTGTTAGCCCTACTGAAAGTCAAAGATTATTTATTCCATAGGTAAAATAAATTTACACTTGAAATCGTCACATTTAAGCTACTGCTCGTTCACTACGCTGACCTCCCTGAGAAGAACGAGCAAGAAACTCTAGGGATTGCTCTTTTCAAATAAACTTAAATGCTATGGAGTACACTTTGAATCAAATTTGTGTGGATTCTGGAGCCGTGTCGTCTTTCCATACATATTTATCTAACACGTAGGTAGTCTTCAATTTTGTAATATGATTTTTCGATCAAAATATTTTTAATGTAGTTTTTAAACTTAGGAAATGATAAACTTAATATATGCTCCGGAATCTTATTGTAAAAACGTATACAGTTCCCCATAAAAGAGTTGTTTACCTTGGTTAAACGAAATCGTGGTACTATGAGTTTGGACTTAGCTCTAAGGTTAATATTATGGATATCTTCTTTCTTATTGAAATTATGTATATTTTTACGGGCATATAAAATATTTGAGTAAATGTACTGTGATGCCACAGTCATGATACCAGTCTCCTTAAACTTTTCTCTGAGAGAAACCCGAGAGCCTTGACGGTACACAGAACGAATCGTTCGTTTTTGCAATACAAATATGGTTTGAATATCTGCCGCTGTACCCCACATGAGAATCCCGTAGGACATTATACTATGGAAGTAACTAAACTAGTGTAGCAGTACTAACATCGGTAAGCTCACGTATTCTGCGGACTGCGTATGCAGCGGAGCTTAATCTGCTGGCCAGGGAAGATATATGTGGAAACCATTGAAGTTTACTATCTAAGGTCACTCCCAAGAAGACTGCTTTATTAACAAAGTCTAACTTTTCTCCGTTTATTTCTATGCTTGGACTAGTCGATTTTACGTTAGGTAATTCAAATTTAACACATTTTGTCTTCTTGGCATTAAGCAATAAATTGTTAGCATTAAACCAATAAACTACCTTAGAGAGGGTATCATTAATATGGTCATAGTTAATGTCATGTCTGTCTGTTTTAAAAATCAAGGATGTGTCATCATCATCAGCAAACAACACTATTTTGCAATGGTCCTTAACAAAGAATGGCAGATCATTAATATAAATCAGAAATAAGAAAGGCCCAATTATTGAGCCCTGCGGAATGCTCATTTTTACCGGAGAACCCAAAGAAGTCACATCATTTAGGTCCACTTTCTGAATTCTACCGTTGAGATATGACGAGACAAGCTTCGACGCCTTGCCACTTACACCGTAATGTTCCAGCTTCCTAATAAGAGTAATATGATCAACAAAATCAAATGCCTTTGAGAGGTCACAGAAAACACCAATAGCGTTCTGGGACCTTTCCCAGGCATCAAAGATGTGTTTTAGTAACGCTACCCCCGCATCGCTAGTCGATCTACCACTAGTAAACCCGTATTGTTCACTATGAAAAATATGATTCCTACCGAAATAGGACAGTAATTGAGTCAGCACAACCTTTTCGAATATTTTACTTAAAGCTGGTAAAATTGAAATGGGCCTATAGTTGCTTGGATCAACTTTCCTACCGCTTTTGAATAAGGGAATAACCTTGCTGTATTTCATTAAATCGGGAAAAACACCTTCGTCAACGCACCTATTGAAAGTTACAGCTAAATGTGGGGAAATAAGATCAATAACTGAGTCTATAACTTTAGTTGATATGCCCCAGAGATCTTCAGTTTTTTTAACATGTATTGATTTAAAAGCTTTTATGATGTCTTGTGGATTAACATGACGGAAATTAAATAAACTGCCACAAACGTTAACATTTTCCTTTAGGAGATCAATAGCAAGTGAAGGGGAGGAATTTAATGATTCTGTAGTGTTCATAGCAATTTCCGAAAAGAACGATTCAAAAGCTTGGGCTACTTTATCTTTTATAAGTTTACTATCTAATTCTAAAACTATATCTCTATCGTGTTGTTTAACCCTGCCTGACTCTTTGTTTATTATGCTCCAAGTAGTTTTAGATTTATTTACACATGTGTTGCGCGGCAAAAAATACGATGTCGATCGTCTGTTGTTTCGTGTCAATCGTCAAAAAACCGAGCAAATCTATAGTCACCTCTACACATCGGTATCTGCCATATGGACGCCAATGCTCGACAAGTAGAGAGTGTAACTACACATACAGTGAATACTAAATTCCTAAAATAAAATTTAACTAAATTGTTATTTTGCAGCATCAGGAAAAGCAGGAGCAGCCCACAAGGAGAATATCAGATTGAAGAAAGAGCTAGAACAATTAGAAGAAGAAAACAATATACTTCGATTGAAATTCGAGATTCTTTTAGATATGATGACGGATAAGACCGTGGAGGCCGAACAGGCAGAAATACAGCGAGCGCAGAGTTTGAGTTCTTTAAAAGCTAAAGGGAAAAAACGATGGTCCTAGTTTATTTTTAATGTGTATAATATAGTTTTATAGAGACAATTTTTCTACTTGATCGTAATACAACTATTTTCCAGTTTGAATACCATATAAAAAAAAAACTTCATAATCGGTTTTCCTGGTGCTCAGACTAGAATTGACTATATTATATTTTAGTTTGACCTCTATCTTAGTAAATAAATCCATTAAAGTTTAAATAAAAAACCAAATCTAAAATAAAATCTTTAGTAACGTAACAAACTATAGGTTGCAATAACCAATATCACACTAACAAACGTATTTGCATTTGTGACGCTTCTTAAGCAGCAAATATTTGTAAAATATGGCTACAATATCGTTCTTTCACGTAGATTTGTCGTTCTCTATCGGACAATACTGTCTTCAAAGAGTATATAATTAATCACAGCTTATTAAAATGCACAATTCAGTCTCCTAATCGATTAGGGCAATTGGCTCTGGTATGTCCTTCTTGTCGGCAATGTCCACATTTCCTTGTTCTAGGCCCGTCCCCCGCTCCGCTCCGAGATGAGTTTGCACCCCGCTGAGATCCCCCTCTTCCTCTGCCGCGGCCGCGACCTCTTGTGGTACTGCCACTAGCGCCCCACCCTGTTGGACATGCCATATCGTTTAGGACATGTATGTACAGGCCTTATTTATATCTTTATATAAGAAATAAAGGTAGCTCAAGAAATAAACATTTTCGAAAAGCAAAAACTATTATAGATGATGTATGGCTTCCGAGGTCAATGTATACGGGTCATCTATGCCACGACATCAAACGTGAGAATAATATTGTGTCAGTACGAAATTAAGTGAACCGTATTATCGAGTGTTGTATCAATACGCATTAAGTAAGTTCAAGAATTAACCCCCATTAAAAAGTCTTTGTAACCTGCAAGTGGACACATTATTCCAATCATTTTATTGGATTTGGCGCCGTGACACTCCGATTCAGTGGGATATTTTGATGTGCTACACTTGTATCCCAATTACTGAACCCTTTTTAACCGACTTCAAAAAAAGGAGGAGGTTCTCAACTCGACTGTATGTTCTTTTTTCTTTTTGTATGTATGTATGTATGTTACGCGATAACTCTGGTATTTGTGAACTGATTTTCATGATTATTTTTTTGTTGGAAAGGGGGTACTTTCTTAGTGGTCCCATTTCATTTTGAAGAAAATCATCCACCTCTAAGGGTGGCTGTTCACGCATAAAGATTCATTTTTATAAATAGCGCCTACATTTTACTAAGGAGCTATTATTTCAATGGTTGATTTTGCTATTTCTCCAATTCAAGGCGTTTCTCTCTAGATATACTTTGAGTAGTGAGAACCGATTTTTATTATCTCCAGAGTCAAGTCCTGTATAGTGGCGAACTAGGGGATATTTCAATAAAACTTAGCAAATAGACGTAATTCCACGTACTTGTGAGGTCGGTTTTTTTAGTACTCTGTACTGAGATTATTTCTTATAATAACTATAGTAAGTAAATACCTGTAGAAGTGCTTGATCCTTGATCATCAGCCCATTGAAAGAAATTACAACGCGAAGACATATCCTTAGAACATCCATAGAATGGCCGTCCTTTATTGGGTCCTTCCTTGTGTACAGTTATCCTATAATATATTAACGATGATTTTATTGAAGCATAAGAAAAACCTGTCTAGTTAACAAGAAATATTGAACTTAATTAACAAGGATATTTCAAAAATTAGAATGGGAAATAAACAAGAAACAAGTTGAATCTAAACACATAAAAAAACAAATTAAGAGGTCTCTCCAAAGAAGTCAAACAAAAACTATTTTAAAGTAAACTCCATACTTTTTACAAGGAAGTCCGCAGTTACATGTTGCTCCATCATCATTAGCCGAGTTATCATCTCTGGAAGAACTTGGTGTTATACCCCATCCTCTTGTACTCGAATTACTAGAACTTTGTCCCCAAGAACTTGGAGCGTTGCCCCAAGAATTCGAATTAGGTGGAGTCTCGTAATTATTTTGGCCAGTATCTGCATATTCGGGAGCCCAAAGAAAGAAGTCACAACCGCCATTTTCTTTGCCAGTTTGACATTTGTAGAATTTTTTACCTGGTAATAAACCTTCGCTTAATATTGTAAGCAGTAATCTCTGCTATATAATCCATATACATAATTAGCATAAATCTTCTGTCAGAGTAATATATAATATTCCATCACGCATAGTGGCGTAGCGTGTGGGGTACAGAGGGGGGTCATAGCCCCGGGCGGCACAGTAAAGAGGGCTGAGTGAGCCAAGCCTGTCCGAACGAACAATTTTTGTTCGTGAAAATAGAGGGGGCACCAAAATTTAAGGTTGGGTCCCGGGCAGATATCGACGCTATGCAACTCTAATTGTGTATTCTTTGAAACTTGGTATAATCTAATCTTGATATCTTTCTTCGCTACAGTTAATTCGAGAAGCAAAATTGAAAGAAACTATTACAGTCAATTCGGGTAACTTTGAAAATTTTTTGCGTTTTTCTAATAATTTCAAATTTAATTATGTTTCTTAACAATTACTTTATTAACTGAATAGTGTTCTTTTAAGTCCTTTTTTCGTTCTTATAGAAGGAATTTAGTAATTATTCAACAAAACTGTTCTAGATTTGCTCCAAAAGTCACATTCAAAGTTGCCTTGAATTTTGGGTAACTTTGAATAAGATTAGCCTTCGATATGGAAACCGTATATTTTCTAGATATTTTACAGTTTGTGTAAGATTATACGACATATTCATATTTTTTAGATGTGAATCTGTCCAAATATTCCTGACAGTGCGTTCAAAAACGACATTTGACTTGGTATTACCATAATAAAACGAGACGAACTAATTTAGTTGAAATGAAAAACTTGTTTATTTTTTAATTATTGCGAATAAAAATGAAAATTTTCTGTTTAATAATAAATTCTACGCTTATTTAGCTATCAAACAAGATCAAAATGAATCACCTATAACAATTATTTCAGGCAAAGTAAATACATAACAAAAATCTATTCACCCCACTCCTTGAATAAAATGTCGTCATCAATATAAATACGGCCGCCTTTTCTAGATAGCTGTTGCTCTTTTATAATATTCACAATATCGGCTTTATTAACTTGACATGTCTCAACGTTAGAGGGCCAAGACCAACCTCCTAAAAAGCATTTTTGGAGCACTGAGACAGTAATTTCCAAAGGAGTAACTTTTAGAACTCTCCCTGGAAACAGACTACCCTCTACTCTAAAAACACAGTCAAACACATTCAAAGTTACCCAAATTTCTCTGTTTGGTAACGTCGCCAAAATCTAATTCGTTTTACGCGTAAATACAAAAGCAAATTAAATTATTCTTTAAAAAAGCGATATATAAACCTCTACTTAAGTGTGGAAACCAAAACTTACCAGTCAATATTCAGATTTATATATTTAATTCCGATTCTAAAACTGAGCAACAAATCACACCAAACTACTTTCGCCAAGAAAAAACCGCGAATGTTTAAAAAAATACAATTTAACATTACTTTTTCTTTTCATAACTGTCGTTTAACAATTTTGTTCCGATTTACACAGTTTCAATACTAAAAATAAAAGATTGCCAGACATAAAATAAATTTTTAAATCTTTTACGCAACTACGTTCAAAGTTACACCACGATTCAAAGTTACCCGAATTGACTGTAATACAATTATTAATACAAAGATCGAACACTTAGAAAAATTTCCTTCGATCCGGCGGAATTCGAACCGTGCCAGACACTATGCCAACCAAGCCACGGAACGAACCAGCAGACCTCACGAATTTTTCTATGTGCTTGTTGTCGTAAATAGCCTTTATCTATTATATATATATGTATATATAAGATATAAGAATGGAATAAATCTCTTTGTATAAATAATTATAACAAACTAGTGGAATAATTTGACAAAAAACCCATTCATATATTATAATGTCTCAGCATTTTTTACTGCCAAAAAGGCCGGCAAAAATTAAAATTACAATGGAAGAGACTATACCCACTTACCAAAATTAGCGGTTTGCTTCCTAACAGTCAGTAAAACAGCTGGCTTATTGCAACCACACATAACATTATTGTCATCGGCATCCCCCCCTTCGCCTCTCGGCATTGGCATCCTTTGATTATTCGTATTTTGGTTTATATTCGCTGGCGGCGGAGGCATACATGGCCTTGACTGTTGACCTTGATGATTATTATTAGTCGTGGTATTGTGTCTCGGTTGATTATTAGTCACGCTATTTTGTCTTGGTTGATTTTGTCTTTCCTGGGTTTGTCTTGATGGCATAACTGTAACTGTATTTCTCACATTTGTGTTACTGTTTTGTCTATCGATAGAGTTCCTATGAGTTCTGCTGTCTGCTACATGTCTTACGCTAGATAAGTTGATTCTCATTAGATCTAAAAATGATGTATCGCATCCGCCAACGCAGCCGATGTATGGAGGAGGATACAAATGATTTATTGAGTTGTTCCTCCATTCAAATTTTATTTTCTTGTAATTGGGACCACACTGCGAACAAAATCAGTACATTTTATGATATTATCACCATGTAAAGGCTTATAATATATAAATGCCGTTCTAAAGCGCTGGCAACATTAAAATAAAATAAATCTTTCCAGTGCAAGTTTCAGAATAGGAACTAATTAGAAGAATAAAATCTTGGGAAGTCTAAACTAGACGTTTCTGAATTTTATTTATTTTCGTGTTAATTTTGCATTCGCTTTCGAAATCAAACACGACTAAAATACATGTAATTTTTTAATGTGGGTTTCGACGCGCCACTAATGCAGCGCAAACGAGTAGAGTTTAGTGGCAGTAGAGCTCCTTATGAAAGAGTTCGTCTAGGGAAGTATTGCCACCTGACCATTTCTGCTGACAAGCAGTTATGTATGTAGTCCTTTGTGCTATTACAGGCACATAGGACTTGTCAATTTATGTCTCAGGGTGACAGGCGCAGTGGCAGTGTCCCTCAGATCTTTGCGATTTAAAGCTCCGAGTGGCACTGCAACGGCTATGGACAGGTGTGTCGCTTAATACCAGGCGCACGACTTGTTCGTCATGTCACTTGGAATCATAAAAAAATCGAAACATAACAGTGTATAGAGAGGATACATAGTACCGAAAGAACTGTGCTTTTTTGGTTTGCTCGATTCCGCAGTGGAATTTTTAATCTGGCAAATGTGGTTTGTGAACGATCAGAGTTTAAGGTCAATTATGACGAGTTGTAAGCTATCTAGCGGCTTCGTTCTATTTTTTTATTTGCGCCAAATCGGTAAAAACAACAACTAGAAGAACGGGTGCCAGACGCACGTCGAAGCTTGCACTGTCTTAATGAATCGACACAGAGATGGAGTTTTAGACCTTATCATTACATGTGATATACAATGGATTCTTTATGATAATCGCAAACGAATCAACGTTGTGGTCGAAACCTGGTGACGAGCCCGAACAATGTGCAAATAATAATCCACAAAAATTGTTGGTAATTGTTGATTGTGCGAGGCGAGTAATCCACCGTCTCTTTTTTAGATCTGGTACTATGCCAGTCGATCGCAATTGTGAAGAAATGCGGACAAAGGTAGTAAGACTATCAGAGAAACAACAACGCCTAGTCAATATCTTAACCTCTACTTCTACACGATAACGCCGAGAGTGCATACTCCCATTTTCCTTCATGCTCATGTAATTTTGCCTCTATCTAGTATCAGTTTTTTCAGCAATTTAGATAATGACTGAATGACGAAAATGAGTTTAAATTATTTTGTGGATTCCCGTTTCCAGTATTCTTTCACAAAGGAATAAATGAGTTTCCAGCAAGAAAGCAGAAAGAACACCCTCCCCTATGTATGATCTTGCGGGCTTTTTTTCTCCTATATACAACGCCAATTTCTTACAAGTATGCGTACACACAAAGTGGCTCAAAGGTTTACAATCCCATTCAGAAAAAAAACCGTATGCGGAACGCTCGTGTGAATTTGATTGAAATATATTGTGTCATGAACCGAATTCTGTTTTCTCCTGGACAGTTGATCTCAGTTTCCAGTGACAAAAATTGAAAAGGAATAACAATTACCGAATCGGTTTTTTGCAAGATCCTGTAAACGTGGTGCTCGTGTGAATGCTAGTGTTAAAATACGTTAGCTAATAAACATGTTCCTGCAATTAACAAGATGCAGGATTCCGGCGGGGAATTGAGCCGTGTGGGAAAAATTATAATAAAAATGTTATTTAAGTTTTAAAACTTGTTTATTTTCTAGAATGTATCCTAAAGCTTTATTCTATTCCTTTGTACCTTTTGTACATACATAAAAGACAAAAAGTTAAAAAAAGCTTATTCACACTTACGGTCGGACACGTGTCAGGCAGAACTTGTAATGTCTTCACTACTGTCGGGAACCACACAGCGTTTTTACAATTTGGAAATGAAATACAGCTTATAAATAGTTCGTCAGAGTTCTTTTTCTGTCGCACGACCATATCAGACCCACATTTCGGGCATTTCAGTACTGAAAATGAACACAAGTTTACATATTACTAAAACGTTTCGACGAAGTCAACATAATAATGGTACAGTCACGAAGAGCAGACTTCCGTTAATTTTTAAATGCATTCTTAAGCGTTATGGGCTATGGCAGAATATCAGTGAGAGCTACTCCACAGTCCTCTGTAACTGAGTCATAGAGCCATTTAATATTTTTTCTTTTACTATTAATGGTGTTTTCTTTTTTATTGTATTATTTGTATTACATGTCAAATAAACAATTTTTGTTTTTTTTTGTCTTATTTTAGTTATCGTACCATAGCAGAATGTAGTTTGATAATAAAATTGTTATAAGTAAATAAAATTTAAATTAAACGAGGCTTAAAACGATCTTACAGACTAATTAATATTCGTAATACGTTGTTATAACTAAATTCTTATTATTAGGCAGTTAGCAAATTGGTCAGTAGAACGAACTCCTATATTTTTTTAGATTTGTCGCCAACTCGGATACAGGAGCTGTGTTCACAGCTCTTGGTAGCGGTTGATTCAACTGGTGTCCATTGCCATCTATCGAGGATGCTGCCAGTGAAATGGGAACTTTTGAGCCAGACACGACAGAAGGCGGAATTTTTCTTAGTTAGATTTTTTACGAAATTTCTTGGAAGTCCCGATTTGTGTGTTTTAGTATCTATTGATGAAGCTAGTGCTGATGTTTAGGTTGTAAATTGATGATCTTTTCTATAATATATTTTTTTATTTTATAAACTTTCTTTGAAATCATTCATATTTACAATTTATCCTCATCAACCCATTTATACATCTTGCTGCTGGGCACGGGTCTACTCACAGATGAGGGTTTAGGCCATAGTTCGCGACGCTGGCTCAATACTGGTTGGGGATTTCACATGTTTTGTGAGGGTTGTGAACCTTCTTCGAGGTGCAAGATTCATTACGATGTTTTCCTTCACCAAAAAGCTCATGGTAAATTTAAAATTAAATTTCGCACATAAATTCTGAGAAATTCACAGATGTGAGCCCGTATTCTAATTGATTATAACTATAACTTAAAAAAAAAGCCGACCTCAAAAGCTCGTGGAATTACATCTACTTGCCAAGTGAAATTGGTTATAGGAAAGTGCGCGAAACCGGATTCATCCCCTAGTTTGCCACCCTTAGAGGTGGAATATTTTCTTTAAATTTAAATGGGACCAATACTGAACTAGCCTCTTCCAACAAAGAAAGAATCATCAAAATCGGTTCACAAAATGCCGAAGTAATTTTGTAATCGGTACATACACACAAATAGAATTATCGACTGTATAGTCGAATTGAGAACCTCCTCCTTTTTTTTGAAGTCGGTTGAAAACTACAATTTATGTGTAATTTTTAACTGCTTCCGTGGCTGAACGGTTACCATGCTGGACTGCCACGCACAGGTCCCAGGTTCGATTCCCGGGCCGGGAGAAATATTTGTATGGCCTACATTTATTTATCTCGAGAGTTTGCGTGTAAAAAATTTGAAACTTGTGACTTACCCGATGGCAAGTTGGCAGGCAAGTTCTCTGTAGTGGGTATATACTCATTGGGTCGTTCGCTAAACCTCTCTCCTAGAGCAAGGTCTATTTTATTTGCTTCCGCTGTTACTGTGAGATACACCTCTTTGTACTTCGCTACCTGTAATAAATGATCATATTTACAAAGTATACACATTTAAAAGGGTATATCTTCAAAATGACCTGACCAGCAAGAGGACTAGATCGCAAAACGACCACCTATGCAGAAAGACAATAACTTGTAATGACTAGGTAGCAAAACGACTTGTTATCAAAATGACCACATCAACAACAGTTAAAACAACAAGGTACAGTTCTTCCAACTGACCTACAGAACTAGTGCTGTCGCCTCGGTGTGGCAACAGACACTGGTTTCGTGTCCAGTCAGAGCAATTCGACTATCTCGTTATTAAAGTGTCTATAGCGTCAAGATAGAAATAAACACATTTGTTGAATAAAATGCTATGTGTCTATGACAACGTGTAATAAAAAATATCTATTTGCTTTTAACAATATTTTTTTATAATATCAAGTGACGGCACGAACAAGTCGTGCGCCTGTTGGTAAGCTACACGCCTGTCCATAACAGTTGCTGTGCCACTCAGAGCTTTAAATTACAAAGATCTTAAGGGCACTGCCACTGCACCCGAAACTCTGAGACATAAATTGATAAGTCCCGTGTACCTGTAATTACACCAACACCCTTACCATTCAAAACCGGAACACAGTAATGCTAACATTACTGCTTGGTGGCAGAAATAGGTAAGGTGGCAGTACATCCCTGGACAAGGTCTTTCAGAAGGAGCTCTCCTACTACTATGCCAGAAGTGGCACCAATGCTATCAATTATAATACCTATAACTCTATGGAAAAAATGTAAGCCCCTATAGCCAAGGGTTTTTTTAGACAACCACACTAATTGCCTGGTCTCAAATTAGGGAATTCCCTGTATTATAAGTACCAGAGCGGAATTCACTATGGGGCACTTCCCAGAACACCCAGACAAGAAACAATTTAGAAAAGTTAAGTTCCCAATTTGGTCCTACGGGAATCGAACCTTAGACCTCCTCATCCAGCGCCCACAATATAAACCGTTGGGCCACCGAGGTCTTCAGTTTACAGCACCTTATCTGTAATAATGATCTTCAATATCATAACGAAATTTAACAAATATGTATCACGAGGATTTACTCCGCCAGCAGACACATACGCTATTGTCGAGTACTTAGGCTTTTGCTACATATTGGCAATGAAATATATGTATAAATATAGTATATTTTTTCAAACAAATCAATGTGAACGCTAGTTTTGTGCCTTTTCTTCAAGGCTAGAGTGAGTAGGTATTATTTAGGTGTGCATGCTCCATCGTCCACCTCGTCGACGACAAATGGGTCAACACTTATTTTACTATATAAAAAAAAAAATATGGGTTATTTTTCTTTACAGGTCGGTAAATAATTTCATTTCCAATTACGCTACTAGTTAGTATATTATCAGTATTTTGGTGAATTTAGATTTTTCTGATAATGACCTGTTCAGCCAAAACCTGTTGTGGATTTTTTCGGCCTTCGCTAATTAGTTTTAAGTCAGCTTCCAAACCGGCTCTCAAGTGTGGCTTTGATATATTCAGGCCCATAGCGTCGTAGCCTTCCACCAGTCCCATACCTAGTAAGCCCGGTACGAAGTGAATAGCGTCCGCTAAAGCTACGTACGAACGACTTTTTATTGTCTCAATATGTTCGGCGTGTGTTGCATCGGTCCCTGAAATAACACACAAATTTAAGCCTTTACATGTATATCGGAATCTATAACAGATACGTTGTTGTAGGGGCTGTTCTCGTGGATATTACTATGTAATAGGTGAAGATTGCGAGTCAACAAAAAAATTCAAGATGGCGGATTCAAAATGGTGCGATCGAATAGTAATGTGCCAGAAAACCATACCAATCGCGTCGTCTCAAACTAGGGAATTCCCTAGACTATGAGTATCAGAGCAACGAAATTAACTACGGGTTAATTTCCTAAACTGGTCCTAACGAGAACCGCACCCTGGTGAACCGTACCCTGGTGAACCACACCTACTTATCAACCGCCTATAGTGCAAATCGCTGGGTCCCCGAGGTCGTCAATGAAAGAATAAAAACCAGAATCCTTTCAACACATTTCATGTAACAAAGTGACATGCTTGTATACATAAAAAGTAAAACTTTACTTCATAGGATTATTTCTATAGTAAGTACATCCTTCAAGACTGGAACATTCTTCAAGATTCACTTGGGATATTGTGTACGTAAAAACAATGAAACGCTATTTATGACCATGGCTAGTAATAGAATTAGAAGAACAATGGTGTTGCGTATATGTGAATTAAAGTATTACAACTGTATTGTACCGATTATATTATTTATATTATTATTATGTAATTGTAATAATAAGTACTTGTTACTTTTGAAAACATAAATTTAGGTAACGCAGTCATTTGATGTTGCGTGCGCGCTGTGTTAACAGACAATTTGCTCTCGCGAATATATTTATTTATTGAAAAGTAAAGCTTAACAGCACGTACATTTATTACAATTTTTTAATAATAATATTATCGCTACGGGTTCAATATTTCTAGATATGAAATAATATTTTCATACATAAATCTTCGAGATAAGTTTGAGAAAAAGATGTTTTATAAAATTAGGTACAAAAAAATTGTATTTAAAATCAACACAACTTACATTTAGACATAATATTTTAAGCACGTTTACGTTGAGACAAATAAAAGCTTTTTGACAACGCTGAAGTTGAGCCAAGTACACGCTAAGAAAGACCTAAAGGTGTCTACAGCAAAAGTCAAATATTCATCATAACTGGTCCAAGACTGTATGGAACTTGGGCATTGTCCTTTTAAAGTGTATTTTGAATAAGATGTCTATGTCTATATCTTACCAATGCCATGTTTCTCCATAAGCGCGATGAGATCGGCTTCAGTGAGGAGGTTTGGGGGTGATGTACTGCCGTCGATTAAGTCTATGCTTGTTGGCTGGAATGTTTGGCCGTTCTGTAATGAAAGTCGCGGATAGAATTTTATTTGTTTCATTTATTATTGATTCTTTTATTAATTCATTACCTGATAAACATGAATTTCCTTAGAAGACCATTTATCATAAGGGTACACGTCCAAATAATTCCTGGCCGTGATCATAAGGCCGCTGGCGGCGAACTTTTCATTGGCAACGTCTATGGTTATTGTGGTCTCTTGTCCTTGCGCGTCTTTCGAACAGCAAGCGAGAAACGATCGAACTATGAACTCGTAAATACGCTGTTCGTTGCCAGATAAACCTAGAATTTTATTAATACGTAACATAATCATCACCTTAAACCAATCAGATGATGTGTCACGTTTTTTATGCATTTTTCATAGTGAACGTGTGTGATACAGATTGGTAGCAGTAGAACTCCTTGGAGAAGAGTTCGACCAGGGTAGTAGGTAGTAACCTTACCTATTTCTGCTGCCAAGCAGTAATGTCAGCATTACTGTGTTCCGGTATTGAAGGGCGCGAGTGCTGGTGAAATTACAGGCACATGGGACTTGTCAACTTATGTCTCAGGGTGACGGGCGCAGTGGCAGTGCCCCTCAGATCTGCGCAATTTAAAGCTCGGAGTGACACTGCAACTGTTCTACAACAGGCGTGTAGCTTAAAATCAGACGCACGAATTGGTCATCCCGTCAATTGATAGTATAAAAAAAATAATTTTGCGTCAAATTTTCGCGTGAATTTTTATATGGACACTAAGCATATTAATTAAATAAAGGGAAAACATAATATTTTTTTCATTGTAGGTACTATTATTACTACTAATACTATTTCTTACCGTTAGTGTACTTAGTAGGATGTATGGGCGGGTGGGCTTTATCGCTTTTGTTACCCTGCCTCGGAGTGGGGCCCCCGCTGTCCATTATTCCCTGTGCGAAGGCCCCCCAATTAGGATCTCCCGTTTGTAACCCCACTAACTGGCCGAGATTCATCTCTTTCGGATACTCATTGGTCTCTGTGCGAGGGTAACTGATTAAACCTTGGGTGTATAGTTTTTCAGCTAGTCGCATTGTTTCTTTTGCGTTTATTTTTAATTTCCTGGATGCTAGTTTTTCGAGTTCCTGAGAAGTAAATACTATGTGTGTAATGATTATCTAAAACTCAGTATTTGTAATTAAGGCGTTTAAACAATTATTCCAAGTTAGTTTTGTAAAAATACTTTTTATTTCTACTTTAAGATAATAGTAATAATACCCATAAATAAGAGAGTTCATAGAAAGTCTTATTGAGAAAATATGTAGTGTGTAATCGTTAAGTGTGCCCAGGCGATTATTCCGTAAATATAAGAGATATAAAAAAAAATATATTACGAAAGTACGTTACCTAATGAATAAAATGGTATCAATAACGTATTTTAAATAAAATTTATTTTAAATAAAAGTAAAAATATTAAAAATTTTACCATTAAACGCTCCCCTACTTTTAATATGACATTCATAGATGACATTCATAGGCTTCCGTAGAGGTAACAATAAATTTACAGATAACGAAACTACTAAGCTTTATAGTAGTACTACTATAGCCTAATAAAACTATCTTTTAACTAAATAAAATCAAAGTGATGTTTATTTTTAAGTAAGTATAAAATTTTGTTTTCAAATCAGTTGTTTGAAACTAAAGCCTCTATACGAATGCCATATTCAATGTATGGGATCGTTTAACGTTTTGGATAATTCTAGTTTTATTTTTATAAATTATTGATGTCGTTTTACTAATTGGGTAATAATGGGTAATAATGTACTTTCGATATCAGATTAAAAGTTTTTGATATCTCTTTTTTAAATTATTTACGTAATAATCGCCTAGGCACACTAAGGATAACACCCTGTATTGATTGCTAAATAAAACTACGCCTACAATCAAAATTACACTCACAACTGTGTCCAAAGGCAATGGCCTCCATTTAGACTTGGGTTTAGTCTTAACCTCACGCACTTTAGCTATGGGATTCTCAAGACAAACGTCGTGTAGAACTTGGCAAGCATCGCGGTCGAACAGACGTACGCGTTCCCATGCGAAATCAACGCTTAGATCATTAATTGTGTGATTCACTGAAAAACAATCACTGCGTGAACAATGTTTAATATAGAATGAAATTCGTTCTAAATAAATTAAAGATGTTATTAATATGCTGGACACGACCCAGCGACTTTGCCATTCCGTGGCTGAGCCAGTAGTAGTAGCAGAATAAACTAATAATTTCACAAAAAGAATTAAATATCGTTGTAGTAAAACATCGTGATATTCAATCAACTTAATGTTACAGTTTAAAGATGACTTAAGACACTGGAACTTATAGGCGACCGCCTGGCTGTGGCAACTCTGTCATACCGTAACACGCATTTCCCACTAATCGGCTAGTTATGTATTCAAATGAGTCATCATACCATACCCATTGACGCGGCCGCGACTCTGAAGTAAAACAGAGTCGTGCGCGACTGGTCGCACAGTGGAAAATAGCACTTACTTTTTTAGCAAATTATTAGGTGCCAAGAGGACTTTTTAATTAACACTCAAGGCTGAAGTCATGCAGCCTGGTGCATTGATAGCCTTTTGTCAATAGGATTCAGTGCAAGGGACAATTGCTACCAGTAATAGAATTAAATTGAAGTACGTAAATAAGGAAACTTAGAAAACATCACTGTTGCCTTTGTCGCTCCTTGGAATGTTGCCAGAATGTACCTCTCAGCAGCTCATTAAGATAATTACTTGTTTCCTGTGCAGTATTTTATAAATAGTTATGTATATTATATACTTTTAAATGCCTTAATAGCTATGACTTTACGTTATACATAATTATAATTTTAACAATTACCTTTTATTTTCCAAAAGGCCTCGGTGACGAAATTTTCAACTGCTCTATACCTCTCCACAACAAATCCCAAAGTAGGGAATTGGCAAGAACCATAGCTCACTAGACTGTCTGCTAGCTTACTGGGAAATACTTTTTGTAGGCGTAGTGTTTGGAATCTCGTGAATGCAGCGCCTACCAAAAACGAAATTATGTGAAGTTGACAAATTTTCAAAGACTATTGAATTCGTCATAAATGACATCCGAGTGCTGTCTACAGCTCTAAAGGTACGCTGTGAACTGAATAAGTACTTTAAGCTGAGAGCAAAGAATATAGATTCTGCCATGAATCGGATGAACTCCTTTGCACCTCTATACCCAATGCTACCTCTTGTTGGGGGTGCATGTTACTCCATACTGGAAAGGCATATACATGTCACAACCAGAGGAGATCAAAATAGTCGAAGCCAGATGAATACTCCAGTTCTTTAAAAATGTTGGTCTTGGTTCCAAATTATAATTAGTGATGCACAAAGTTGCTCAATTAATTAGTTTAATGATGAACGGCTGCAAACGGTCCTAAATGAAGCCACCCTAAAAATAATAATTCATCACAGAAAGCATGCATGAAAAACACTGTATACAAAACATGAGAAGTTTTTATAAATTAAGTAGTTCTAGTCTGAGTGTTGTGGGTAGTGTTATCCCCAGAAGTTATGGTGCTTTAAAGCTCAGAATACAGAGAATATGTCTTATTTGTTTATAATTGATAGGAAGGCTAGGTAATTGATGTGATGGCTAACATATTTATTATTTTATGTATTTATTTCATACCTATCCTCAAATCTAACTCCTGTCTCACATCAACAGCGTCACTGATATTTTTGTTAGGTTGTTCCAGATTTGCAAGCGCTCTCCAAACAGACACAGCTGTGATCTCTGAGAACTTAGCTCGGTATACTTGAAGATTACTTTTCACTGCTGTGCAGACTTGGATAATTTCAAAGCCTATGTTTTCACCTTCTCTGTCACAATCTGTCCATATGATCAGGCCTTGGCAACTACGCACTTCCCTTTCTAAGGTTTTCTGTAATTAAAGAAGATTATTTCATTTATATTTATATTTTGACTCATCCAAAGAACAGAGTCTGATGTGATTATATAGCAAAAAGAGAATAAGTACATTCTGAGAATAATTTCTTTATTCAAACTAAGGCCTATGTAAATGTGTTTTGAGAATTTGTATATCTTATTTCGTTTCGGAAATATAAAATCGAACAGCAATCGATTTGATACCCATAATGAAGAAGAACGAACGAAATGTACTATGTCCTGAGACCAAGTAGTCTTGCATATAGATCTTTGTTCTATGGATGAGTCGCTTTTATTTATTTATGATATCAAGCAATGGGAACAACAATCCATATGCCTGGTGGTAAGCAAAAACCCGGTCCATAATAGTGGCAGGCACATGGAGCATGTAATTTCACTAGCAACCTTCAAAACCGAAACGCAGTAATGCTTACAATCTGCTTGGCAGCAGAAATAGGACTAGTGATAGTCTAGCTATGTATATTTCTTGTTAATATCATAGACAGACAATAGCTGTGAAATAAATAAAAAATAAAATTATCCAAATATTTGCAGGATGTAGTTTACATCTTTAGCTTTTGGTAAATATAGACTTTAGCTAAAGCCACAGCCGACATTAGGCTGTGACGCTGGTTTTCTATGGACCTTAGCGAGTTAGTAACAGACTTATGTATTGTGAAATGAAATAAAATACTATGAAAATATTTGTATTATGTGTCAGCATATCGAGTTATTACAGTGTCTTACTCTTATATCGAATAAATACTTACTTAATGCTTGTTGTACATATACATTATATGGTATGTGTGTGTAGTGTTAATGCAAATAGTAATTTCCACTATTATTAATACAAATTTAAAGTGTATTCCACCAAAAATATTAAACACAGTTAACTACAGCATAAAGGTTTATGTAATTAACTAAAAGGAAACAATGTTCAGCTGCACTTGGTTAACCGGTCAAATAGAATATTAAGTAATTTTTTTTATAATATCAAGTGACACGTATGCAAACTACACTCCTGTTCATAACAGTTGCAGAGCCACTCAAGAGCTTTAAATCGCAAAGATCTGAGGGGCACTGCCACTGCGCCCGTCACCTTTAGGCATAAGTTGACAAGTCCCATGTGCCTGTAATTTTACCAGCACCCTTACCATTCAAAACCGGAACGCCGTATTGCTAATATTACTGCTTGGCGGCAGAAATAGGTAACTGTCAACTTTTTGAAGCTGGATTTTAGGTAGTTGGTCGTAGGAAGGTTGTGATATGTGCTATTAAACATCTTTATTTAATAGCACGTATCACATTGTACCAAAGTCTGTTACTTACCTTAATTTTTTCATAATTCTCTGGACAATATTTTAAAACAGGAGCATCAAACAATGATAACGGGTTGCAAGATTGCCAGTGCTTGTAAGTTCCGACAAATTCTAGAGCAAGCAAGTGGCCAGACACCGAAGTCATTACCATTTGAGCCTTTTGTCCCATTACATCGGCATCAAATTCATATATTTTGTTGTACTGAGACAGTCCCTCGCGCTGCAAGTGATATTTGGAGTAATGAAAGAATGAAGTACTTATTAATGTTAATAAATTCACTAAGATAAGCACTGGCGGCGTTTCCTTAAATCACTTAAGTTTCAAAAAGTCTCAAACGAACACAAACAGCGTGTGGTGCTAGCCATTTTTCTTACGTATGTTTTAACTATGTACTTGAGATATATGGTAAAGTTTAAACTTACTCTCCTTGATGTGCCACGAGATAAATGTGCAGCAATGTTTTTAGCGGCATCGTTCTTCTCAGCAACATTTAAATACTTCATGGTCTCAGACTTGCACCTTGTTACTACCAAAATGTGCGATTTATTTAGGCATAAACGAAAACCTATTCTGCGGTAGAGGTTATGAGTTATAACCATCGCTTTTTTACCTATTACAGACTATATCAATATGTTGAAGTCATGTTTCAAATATTATGAATTAAATTCTAAATATTTCGCACTACGTAGTTAACATTATGCCAACAATTTATGGATAAAAGTAAATTTTCAGAAAGTAAACAATCAACAATCCCTCCGTTTGGGTGGTGTTTTTTTTAATCCTTTCCGTTACGGAAAAGGTTTGTAACCAAACAGCCAAGTCTTGGAGAATTCTTCTGTTGATAACGTAAATCGGCCTACGCCAAGACCGCAGTCCATTTACATTATTTTAGGTTTAATACCTAAAATAATGTAAAATGTAAGTTATTTTAGGTATTAAGCCTCATCTTTGGTGATTCATCATTTTAGAATGGGCTCTAGACTTCCGATAATGCAAAAACTTGAGCAAAAAGACCTTAGAGCATAATATAGGACTGGAGGCGACATTGATAGGCAATCGCCTCCAATCCCCTCTGTCAAGGTCGAAGCACAAAACAACCGTCGCACAATAAACACTACTTTCAAATCGATGTTTTTTTCATTTGCATTATCGAATTCACTGCGCCAAGTGCTCCATGAAATATATCGTCTTGCGTTATTATTCTAAGCTTGCAACATACAAACTTGCAAAAAATCAATGCTAAATCCAGTCTAGCAGAGGTTGGAATGACATTTCATTTCTACGTCTATTTTTTACATTAATTACTAGTTTTCTATTTTAACACATTTTTTCACAATGATCACATTGATTAAATTTGTCGATTACATACATATTACATAGAAAATATTTCAAAACATTCGAACATTTGACATAATAATGCAGCTCTGGACCTTTCGGAACGAAAAGTGTCGTTTTTATTTTGACTTTCAATTATTTTGTGAAATCTAGTTTCAAGTAGAATAGGATAGTGCTATTGTGCCTTAATCGAAGATTAAGGGTCGTATTCTAGAACTCTACTCAATACTCAAGTCAGGATTTGAGTATGGTTTAAAGCACTCAAAATCATACTAAAGTCCCTGCCGTTAGGGTCGTATTTCCAGTGCAATCCTAACTTGAGCATTGAGTAGAGTTCTAGAATACGACCCTAAAACGCGAAATTATACGAATCTCGAACTCAAAAGCCTTAATAAATTTAAAAAAATCATAATAATGCCTATGAAGTTCCTTAATTACGGCCAGGCAACCACAGACAAAAAATGCAATACTTCATGAACGCTGTTTTCTCGTTATAGAAAAGCAACGTGCTTTTTAGCTCCGATTTTTATCGATAGATTATGTAACGAAGTTTATTCAAATTGATTTCTCCGTCGTATTATAATATATATTAAATAATAATGTAATAAATTATAAATAATGTAAATAAATTGTAATTGTTTTAATATAAATCATCATAAATCATGCCATACTGTAAGAAAAAAGAAAAAGAAAAAGTACATATACGAGTACATACTTACATTCAATACACATAAACTTAGAATAATAACGCATAGAAACCTAGCCTGCACACGCTAAGTGAGGCAAGTTAGAGGGTTCCAAACGCGTCCCAGGAGCGCGCGGGCTGTTAGTGGTCAAGGTCATATTGCACCGCGAACAGCTCCAAAATTTTTTGCTAAAAATGACGAAATGTGCGGTAAATGGGTGTAAAAATACAACAGACAAACATAAAATAGACACTAACATCGCATTCCACAAGTAAGTAATGCGTTTCAACTCATATTTTTATGTAAATATTCACTAAAACAGAAAAATAATTTCGCGGCAACAAGATACGAAAGTGTTGCAAAGTAACGAATTTTTTTTCTCCCCATTTTGCTATTCTGTATCAAAATAATTGTATTACGTAAATTTTAGTGGTGCCTGTAATTTAGATTTATTTGCGCGTCTTGAACTAATATTTACTTTAATAAACATTAAATGTTTTCGTTAACTCCTGTAAGTGATTGGGACACTTAATTATTTTATAATACTTTTAACGGCTCTGCGTTCATGCTTTATTGAATAATTATTTATTTTAATTTTATTTGAATTGGAGCACATATTGCAACAAATTTACAGTACTTATATATTTGTTTCTACTATAGTGTTGGCACCACCAGTACAACTTTGATAGCTTATTATATGTCTTTCTTTTCGTAACTCAAGCGAAATATTTTATATTAAAATATTTTATTTTCTTAAAAGGGGAGCATTCTTAAGCGATTTTTTAATCTATTTTAACAGTTATTTTCTTTAATGTTTGCTTATGGCATTTTCGGTTTTAGGTTTCGAATATGGCACTTATTTCTAAATCCAAGATGCGGGCGCGATTTTTCGAATAATGGCAAGTTGGGTATCGTTTTCGAGATGTTTGGGAATGTTCAATACAAATATGGCACTCATTTCTAAATCCAAGATGGCAAACACGACAGTTCAAACAAAAGCAATATTCGTAATGAGCACCCCCAAATACCTCGAAAACGATACCCAACTTGCCATTATTTGAAAAATCGTGCCCGCCATCTTGGATTTACAAATAGTGCCATATTCACATTGAGCATCCCCAAATACCTCGAAAATGATACCCACATAGCATTTTTTTGAAAAAATCGTGCCCGCCATCTTGGATTTAGAAATGAGTGCCACATTCGTAATGAGCACCCCCAAATACCTCGAAAATGATACCCATATTGCATTTTTTTGAAAAATCGTGCCCGCCATCTTGGATGTAGAAATGAGTGCCATATTCGTCATGAGCATCCCCAAGTACCTCGAAAATGATACCCATATTGCATTTATTTCAAAACTCGTGTCCGCCATCTTGGATTTAGAAATGAGTGCCATATTCGTAATGAGCATCCCCAAATACCTCGAAAAGGATACCCATATAGCATATTTTGAAAAATCGTGTCCGCCATCTTGGATTTACAAATAAGTGCTATATTCGTTTTTCATCGACAAAACCGAGCACATCTGTAGGCACCTGATCGACAATGTCGGGCAAATCTGTAGGCACCTTTAACTTAATGATGAGTTAAGCAAGATACAATTTCCCCACTTTTGAGGGAAATGTTATTCCATGGCATCATTATTTGTATATTTGTGTGCGTGCCGACGAGCGTAGTTACAAGTTGCTTACGCCTACATGAATTTGGTTTTTGCCTCACTTGTGACAGTTCGTTTGATATGAAACTATCATTCTATGCGTTATTATTCTAAGCACATAAATTACAAAAGCCATCTTATTAATCAATTAGCTAACTAACTGTCCTTATCCTTATGCGCAAAACACAGAAAGAGACCCGTTTCTGTCAATTTAAAATTTCAAACCACAAGCGATTTAAATATTTAGATTTAGAACAAAGAAACTATAGAGTTGATTTAATTGACTTTTTAAATGTTAAATGTTAATAATAAATAACTACCAAGGTATTGTTGTATTAATTTTACTGTTTGAAGTTATCAATCAGAAGTCCGAAAATACATTTGCCCGAAGTAATGTTTGCTCGAATTTTTGTAATCCCAAATGTATTTTTTTAGATTATTTTAGGAATATTACAAACCAAACTAACCTAATGTTTTCTTTGTAACAAGCAAACCAAAATCCCCTGAAAGCATAATGGTTAAATAAGAGGAAAAATAGTTTCATTTCCTATGTGTAACAATCGCGAAAACCTAAGAACTCGATAAGCATAATGGTTTTGTTATAAATCGGTTTTCGAGATTATGAAACTTTGAGTTTACGTTTAGTTGGAATCTAGAAATTCGAAACATCGATACATTTCTTACAGTACATCAGAACTACCAACAGAGAGACCAGCTATTTTCACATTTATAATATTTGTAAGTACATATATATTTGCACAACTCTTATTACTCGAAGTGAATTCGAATAAAATTCAACATAATACCATGAAATTAATTAATATTGGCATTAAGACTACTCCACCACTCTTGTGTTCAAGTAGTTTTCGCTGGAAAGTTAAATATGGTGCATTTTGTTATTTCTAGTAGAAGCTGAATATGGATAATTTTTGGGCCTTTAAATTGTAGCAAACAAAATTAAGCAATACTGCAATAACTTTACAATTTAAATGAAATATTTGAGTTTTTTTTATACTTCTATACACGTTTGTATAGGTTTAATATTTATATTTATATGGTTATAGGTTGTAACTCCGGCCATGCTTGTCATTGGCTCCAACGCTGACCGCGAAAAGCCGGAAGAGATCTGGCCATTTTTTCGCAGTTTTTGGATTAGTCTTTAGATTGTATTTATTGTCATCCATTTATTGGTAAGCCAATGGGCAATCTCCGCTGGCAAATACAAGTAAAACCATATACAGTCTGTCAAAAAAGAGTTGAAAATAAATGAGGGCGCTGCGATCTGTTATAGGGTATCCCTGTATAGTTCGACTAAAAAATATTAGATACTTTCAATATTTGTACCTACTTCATTTTTCATAATTAATATTTTTAAGGGATCTGCAATGAGGATGGGCTGCAGCGTCCTCGAGTACCTACACCTGAAGTTCCTCAAGTACCAAAAAGTGAGGCCTATATCCAGCAGTGGGTGTTAACAGGCTGAGATGATGAAGTATTTCTGCTTTCCACTTTTTGTTTGCATCGTATAGACGGGGTCTCTAGTGCTCGCCTCCTAGTTCGAATGGGATGGGCTCCGTGCAGACTCATCGGTAATCGCACAAAATATTCGAATTATATATCTTATTTCTTAAGTCAAAGTCAAATTATCATTTATTCCATAGCTAATATATATTTATTAATTATTTGTTCAAAGGAGCAAAAGAAAACCAATGTAGAAAAAAGAAGGAAGAAAAGAAAACAAAAACTTTTAAATAGTTTAATGAACTATATTTTAAATTTTTGCTAGGCAAGGTATACGTCCGAAAACTAACAGAAAAACAAAATATCAAAAATTAATCACTTA